AGGGCCCAGATTGGCCTGAAACCAAATTCCCTCCGCCCTGGATGCTGTCTGGGTACCTGCGCACAACAAGTGAGTGTATCCAACCAAGGGCCTGGATGCGGTACCTTAGACTCTACAGTTGACTTCGACTCTTGAATTTCCTGTGTGCAGCGTTCGGTCACACAGCCACACTCGATAGACTCAGGCCTGGGCATGCCTTGGTCACACAGCCCAGTGCAGACCAACTCAGATCTGCATTTCCTGGGGCTGAGTTCTGAGCCCCAGGCTACTTCTGAACAGGGTTATTACATTCCTGCCGGCCCATTTTCGAGTTCCACTGCAGAAATATTTAAGACTTTAACCCTCGTTCATAAGCAGCGACAATATCAGGAGCAGTTTCAAGTAGTTCTCGTTTACTAAACCATCTGTTCTCAGATGGTGCTTGAGTTTTAAAACGTACCTTGAACTACTTCTGAGGTCATCCACGTCCTCCCGTAGAGAAGTAACCGTGCTCTATGATCCTGTCAACCTCGTATCCGCCATCCATGTCTGGTGGAATCATAGAGGGTCTGTGTGGAAACTCGTTTCCTTCTACGTAAGACAACAATTTTGACGCATGAAAGACAGGATATGTTTTGAGATGAGGGGGGATATCAACTCGATAAGACGGTCCCTCCGCATCTCCAATTACCTTGAGAACTTCCTAGGGTCCAAAATAGACAGGTAGCAATTTTTGGGAGACATCTTCTTCTTGTGAAAACTCTTTAGATTTTACCCAAACCAAATCACCCTCTTTGAATGTAGACGGTCGACAGTGCCTGTTGGCTTGTTCGATCATTCGTAGTTGAGCTTTCCTTAGATTATCTTTAACTTTCTGAATGTCCTCCTGAAACAAGATTGCATATTCTCGGGTCCCTGGGGGCAACCTAAGAAACTGGTCCCGGTTTAGTATGCCAATGGGACGTTTAGGCTTCCACCCTTTATGAAGTGCATTCGGGGTTCGTCCAGTGGAAGTATGAACACTATTATTATATGCACTCGCAATTTTTGGGTAAGTTCTCATCCCAATCAATCTGATCGGGTCTAATATACATACGCAAAAGCTGCTGGCACAGACAGTTCATCTGTTCAGTCTGGCCATTCGTTTCGGGATGCCTCCCTGACGACATGGTCAGCCATGTGCCATAAGCTTCCATCTGCTTTTGCCATGGCAGACTGGTGAACCTGACATCTCGATCAGACACAATGATTTTAGGGAACCCATACTCAGTGACCCATCGCATCTGAAATTTCTGAATGACAAGTTCAGTACGCGCTTCTGTTGGTAAAGGAACAGACATAGCATATTTAGAGAAACGATCCACAATTACCATCACTTGACTATTACCATTGCGACTTTTAACCAGACTCGTAAAGTCAATTGAGATAGACTCACCTGGTTCGCTTGGTATAGGTAATGGCTTGAGAAGTCCAAGGGGGTTCTCATGCGACGGCTTGTTTCTCTGACACACTAGACATGTGCGAACATATGTTAGTACATCTTCCATTCGAAACGTTCTCTGACTTCAGCATATGTTTTCTTGAGCCAAAATTACCCTCAGAATCGTGACATTCCCCAATCAACACACTATCTCTTCCTTATGAGGAATACACAATCTTTGTTCGGTTTGGTCAATCAAGAACAACAATCCATCAGTCAGTCTATAGTTGGGTAGTTGGGATGAATCTCGTACAAGGACATCCATGATTGGTTTGCAGATACGATCAGTAGCATATCCTTGGCGAATCTGGTCTTTTAGGTCATTCCCAACATCCAAGTAGGAGACAATTGCACCAAAGAATTACTCCGTCTGGACAATGCGTCTGCGACAACATTAAACTTACCTCTGATCGTTTTCAACTCAAAATCGAAGGTATCAATAAACGCAGACCATCGTACCAACTTATCAGAGAGCCTAGGCTGTGTCTTTATCCACTTCAGAGTAGAGTGGTCTGAGTACACAGTAAAGTGCCTCCCTAATAAGTAATGCTTCCACGTGTTTAGTGCATAAACTAAGGCATACAACTCTCTTTCATAGCTGGAGTTGGCAACCTTTTCTGACGGCAGTCGTGCCGACATAAACTCTATGGGCCTATAGCCCTTGCCGTCATCTTGCTGGAGAACAGCGCCAATCCCATACTGACTTGCATCAGTAGTGACAATGAAAGACAAAGACGGATCAGCAATCTTAAGGACGGGGTAGTGAGTCAACACATACTTCAATTTCCTAAAAGGAAGACTCACAATCCTTATCCCACAACCAAATAGTTTCTTTCTTCAACAATCTTCGCATCGGGGCAGCAATCAGTGAGAAGTTCCTAACAAACTTCCTATAATAACTAGCTAGACCAAGGAAAGATCGCCATTCAGTTATAGACTTAGGTTGTGACCAATCTCTAATTGTTGAATTTTTTTTCTCTTCCGGCCTTAAACCTTCTTCGTTCACTATGTGTCCTAAGTATAACACTTCGGACTTAGCAAACTCAGACTTCTTGGGACTGATCTTGAAGTTGCCCTCACGCAACTTCCCTAGCACCAGACGAAGGTGCTTCTCATGATCTTCTAGTGTCTTACTGTACACTAGAATATCATCGAGAAAGACAATGACAAACTTATCCAACCATTGACGAAACAAGTCATTCATTGACCTTTGAAAAGTGGCAGGGGCATTCGTTAATCCGAAGGGCATTACCACGAACTCGTAGTGGCCATACCTGGTCCGGAAAGCGGTCTTATGCTGATCGGAGGGTTCCACCTCGATCTGGTGATACCCAGATTTCAAGTCAATCTTGCTAAAGTACCTGCAACCCTGTAACTAGTCAAGTCGTCACGCGCAGTTATTCATGTCGATTCGGTGAATAATTCTTTATATTCATTTAAGAGTTTTTCAATCGAAGGAGGGTAGGAAGTCGAGCATTCACCTGCTTTCTTAACCAAGACCATCATTACTTCCTGCTCCAACTTTTTCTTTGAAACCATCGATCGAAATGATGGGTAACTCTTACAAAAAAAAGAAAGACTAGAGTCAGATCCACACTTATGAAACAGTTTGATAGGTTTCAATTCAGATTGTGCGTCTCGCAATTGCACAACCTTTTCTTTGAACTTAATGTCTGGGTTGGCTTCCTCGTGCCAATCCATTCCCAAAATCAAGTCAAACGGGAGGTTCTTTTCTACAAGGAAGGATACCTCGTGAAGAATTATATTCCCTTCCTTGGTTCGAAATCGACATTTCACACGATCAACATACTGCGAGACAGTGATCGTGCATTTGTCAGCAAAAACAAACGTGATAGGTCTAGACAGGTTCTTCACCTTCATTCCGAGATGCAACTTGCAGATTGCTTTCTCGAATATGTAGGATCGCGTGGATCCTGAGTCCAACAGAGCACCTACGCGTGTACGTGCGATTTCTACATCCGCGAGTAGTAGGTCACCCTTAGACTTAGCTTTCTTAGCCCACGAGCTTCGCAGTGCCAGCAACTCGTTACCAAGCTCGTCAAGGGAGTCGTCCAGAGAAATGGAACATAAGACAGGTTCAGGGTGTTCCGGATGATGGGCCGAAGAAGAACCATCCTCTGCCATGCGAGTCAAAAGGTTGGAAGGGTTAGTAGGCGCCTTACCTTCATCTTCATCCAAACCTTTAGACTCAGTAGGAGCAGATGCTACTCC